ATCCAGCGTGCGAATGGAAGTGGAAAGCTCAGTTAGAAGCGAGGTATTATTTCTCTGGCCAATAAGGCGAAAAGGGGAGCTTATAACAGAAATATTATGCTAGTATACCATTGATCTATTTGCTTAGGAAAAAGAGGGAGGGAAGACTTGAAAGAAAGGGCGGCTTATTCACTGTCTTCCTCTTTACAAAGAATATAAACGCAAGTGAGATGTTTAGTGCTTAATTCACACTATTACAACATTATTATAGATATAGACGAATGTGAAGAAAAGAGATGCGGAAAGAACGCAACTTGTACGAACACTGAAGGATCTTTCAGATGCACCTGCAATATTGGTTACTATGGAGATGGATACAAGTGCACAGGTATACCACTGTTAGTGCAAACTTCCAGAGATATAGCAGTTGCAAGCGAGGGTAAAAGACGGCAATGATTGATCATCATCAGAAAAACAGCCTGAAATATAATAATGTTTACCGGTTTGAGGTTGCCAATAGTTCCTGGTAAAAAAAATTCGGTTAATAAAGTGTTAACAATAACTAGTGCTCTAGATGGAGAATTTTCTTCCTCTTGCGTATGTAGAAAAACCAATGCATTGAACACCAACGAATCTTCTGTAGTCTTAGTCTGAATTTCATCCGATCGCTTCGAGTCGTTTTCTCCTCTCGGCAACGTCTGAATCGACCAGCCGTTAATGCCATCCAGTGACGTCACTGCTACCCGAAAACCGGGAAGTGATTTTGATTGGCTGATTGTCTAAACATTCGCATAATTATGTATAATTATGAGACATTTTAGCGGGATTATCGCTTGATATTCAGCGGATCGCATGAGTGACACGCTTGCGTGGAGTTCAAGCATTTCCATAATCTTTATCGTAAACAGCAAAATCGCCCTTTTTTTCGAAACTGAATCGCTAAATTGAACTGCGAATGAAGAATCATTGCGGAGAGTCGGTAGGTTTTTCATTTAGGGCCGCTTTGTGGTTTCCGCAGTGATTTTATGCGAAGTTTCTCAGACCAATGTCCTGTGGTCATTCGACTTTCTTGCTATTTTCACCGTCAAGTGTAATGATTCTGTTAGCTCTTCAGTCTTGTTTCCTTGTTTTCTTTTTTCTTTGTTAAGGATGAAATAGCTTCCCTTCAATTAAAGGAAATTGTTGTGTTTTTTAACTAAGTGTTCCGTGTGTGTTTTTATTGCGTGATTGCGACCGAGTCTGAATTACAACCGGTTCAGAGTACTAGTTGATAGTTTGAACGTTAAACATGAATTACGATCGAAAAGAGTAAAGCAATTCTGTCAGCTGTTCTGTATCATGTAGACATTTCCAAAGGATATTTCTTGGTTTGCCACTTGAAAATCGTGTTTCACTTTTTGCATGAATTAAAGCAAAGGAGTAGTGACTTCACTGGACGGCATTAACGGCCGGTCGATTCAGACGTTACTAAGGGAGTAATAACGACTCGAAGTAATCGGATGAAATTAAGGCTACTATAGTCTGAGGCATTGGATGCTTTGACAGTTATGATCGTAAATCATGTAAATCGTAAACTTTTAAAGAAAACATTATAAAAGAAAGGACTGGTTTGTCTTTTAAGGAAAACTCTTTAACAACTGCCTCTACAACATAGTGTCTCATCACTTGCAGAAATGCTGATCAGTCTGATATTTTTCTAACGAGGTGAAAACTGGTTTGGCTGCTTCTTCTGTTTAATTCATCTCGATCTTTATAATAATTATGCAAATGACAATTTCACTATTAAAACGGTCTCCTATGGCTTCTCTTTTAACACGAACAGATTGATTATCTCACTGTCACCTTCATCTCACTCTCTGATCTTAAATATCTTTTGTTTTCAAACTAGAGTGTTACACAATATTTGACTTCGAAGACCATGATTTGTCAAATTGGACTTTGAATGGCACTGCATTCAATAATCAGCCAACATACGGGAATAACACATCACGAAGGAACAGAAAGAGCAACCACAAAGGGGATTGGTGGATTGGTACTCTCGAGAATCGGCCCAGTCCCTCTGAACCGTCTGGGAGAATGCAAGGCGACGGTCCTCAAGGTTCGTTGACGTCACCCAGTTTTCAGATTACTGGAAAGTTGCTTACCTTCCTGATTGGAGCAGGCTGCGAAGGTCATACAGGTCTAAACATTCGTGCCGAGCTTATTATTGGTGGGGAAGTGGTTCGCAAGAAGACGACAAAGGCGTGTAATGAAGCTATGACAGAGAAAAGCTGGAATGTAACAGGTTACGCTGGTAAACATGCCCAGTTGCGTTTGGTTGACCATTTCTCAGGGCACTGGGGTCACGTCAATTTTGATCACTTACAAGCTTGCCATAAACTCATTTCAGATACGGATCCTTGAGTTTTCTTGGTGTTCATTTTAAGCAGTTCTGTAGGATGAAAAAAGACAAAGGACTTGTAAGAATAGAAGCGGTTTTTTTTTTTTGGAATCATTTTCAGAATTTACAGCTCTCTTTGTTTTTCTTCTGTGATCAATCAGATCGTCTGTACTTTTATTTTATTTCTATTTTATGTAGCGATTTCGGTGAACAATCCGTGTAGTAGATTTCGGATGTTTCGAATTAGCTCTGCGGTATTTTCCCAAAAGTTAAAACGAAAGTAACTTTATTCGCTCTTAAAAACCCAATACAATGGGAGTCATTTCTCTCCCCGAACCAAATTACAAACTCAAAACTAAATATAAAGCTAACGAGCTAACAGCGGGGTGTAAGAAGCTTGTTCTTAAATATAATGTAAGATTAACATAAGAATTATGTGAAGAGTTTAGTAATGACGTTATCAGATCAGAGAAGTGACCACAAAACAAATAAGCCGTAAGGTTTTTTCTTTACCTTGTAGGAATTTGATAATGGCATCATTTGGGAAAATAATTCGTTACATGTAAGCCCAAACCAACTGTTATACCATGACTTACCGTGTGGCAAGAAATTTTTACGGGCTCTAACTTTTGCGATTTTACGATTTTTTCAACGATCCGCAAAAAATTAGTTTCCACAAAAAAAAAAAAATTAGCGCAAAACTTTTTCCCCAATAAATCTACTCCAGAGTAAATGTCCTCTAACTTAAATTCGCTACACAAAAATACAGTACTAAGAAATTGTGTCTGTTCAATCACAACTTGTCTGTTTCATTCACAAACAAAACGGTATGTATAGGTAATAGCATGATTAGTGATGATATTTGGCATAAATACCACGAGTGATATTTCGAAATTGTTATACGTAATTTCACGAGCCGTTAGGCGAGTGAAATTTGTGACAATTTTGAAATATCACGAGT